CTGGCCTCCAAGTTTTCTAGGATGATGCAATGTCCAGCCATCAACACATTTGTGAAGGAATTTTTACTCCCCAAAAGAGCGCCCCCCATGGCAGGAGAAAAAAGTCCATTTTTTCTTGTCCCCTAAGGTGAAAATACACATTGTTGAGTGTAACACCTGACGCTTTGGCAAAATGACACAAAAATTGACACACACATGTATCTCAATAAGATCTACGAAAAAGTCAATGCGCGCGTATCTGTCAAATGTACGGTTAAAGGGTTATTCCGCATTTTTTGCCGATCCGCACACATTGGAATTTCGCTAACTCCTCCGAAGGCTTTCGTTCCACCGGCACCACATTTGCTCAGGCCAATCTACACCCCATGGCCATTAAAAGTTATTCAAATCATGACGCTGCACCCCACGGTTTAGGTTCTAGGGGGCGCCAAAGATAACCGTAAAATCCACATATTTAAAAGTCTTATAACTTTTTATTTTTGTCCCCACTGGCCTCCAAGTTTTCTAGGATGATGCAATGTCCAGCCATCAACACATTTGTGAAGGAATTTTTACTCGGCAAAAGAGCGCCCCCCATGGCAGGAGAAAAAAGTCAATTTTTTCTTGTCCACTAAGGTGAAAATACACATTGTTGAGTGCTACGCCTGTATGTTTTGTCGTATTGACACAAAATTTTACATACACGTGTATTTCAATAAGATCTTCGAAAAAGTCAATGGCCACGTATCTGTAAAATGTACGGTTAAAGGGTTATTTCGCATTTTTTGCAGATTCGCACACATTGGAATTTCGCTAATTCCTCCGAAGGCTTTCGTTCCACCGGCACCACATTTGCTCAGGCCAATCTACACCCCATGGCCATTAAAAGTTATTCAAATCATGACGCTGCACCCCACGGTTTAGGTTCTAGGGGGCGCCAAATATAACCCTAAAATCCACATATTTAAAAGTCTTATAACTTTTTATTTTTGTCCTCACTGGCCTCCATGTTTTCTAGGATGATGCAATGTCCAGCCATCAACACATTTGTGAAGGAGTTTTTTCTCTTTAAAAGAGCGCCCCCCCATGGCAGGAGAATAAAGTCAAGTTTTTCCTGTTCATCATTCAATGGCTCAAACGCACTGCTCTCTCGGCAAAAGCGAAAGGAAGAGCAACTTGCCATTTGGATATATCTTAGCTGTGTTTTTGCCCTCACTCATGGTCCAGACTTTTTTCAAATAGGACATGGAGTTTTTCTGCAGCGAGCGTTTTGGTAGAAACTGCGCCTCCCGTTCATTATAATGGTAAATGACCACAAACAAGTGCGCACACCATCTTTGGACCTTGAGTGTGACGCGATCGGGTGGGGGAGGCGGTCGCGCTGGGGGCGGCGTGACACGGCTCGGGCCCGCCAGTGCCCCAACGGGGCCCTAGTTTGTTATTATTATTATTATTTTTCCTCCGCTTTAAACTGGAAAATGGCCCACTTCCCACTGGCGAAAACTCATGAAATTTGGCAGGAAGACCGGGCCTGGTGAAAAATTCGATATTCTGAAGTCGCCCAAACAATAAAATGCAAAATGGCTCCATAGCGCCCCCTAAGGTGGAAATTCACACTATTGACTGTCACGTCTGTACGTTTTGTCATATTGACACAAAAATTGACACACATATGTATCTCAATAAGATCTACAAAAAAGTCAGTGCGGGCGTATCTGTCAAATGTACGGTTAAAGGGTTATTTCGCATTTTTTGCCGATCCGCACACATTGGAATTTCGCTAACTCCTCCGAAGGCTTTCGTTCCACCGGCACCACATTTGCTCAGGCCAGTCTACACCCCATGGCCATTAAAAGTTGTACAAATCATGACGCTGCACCACACGGTTTAGGTTCTAGGGGGCGCCAAAGATAACCCAAAAATCCACATTCTTAAAAGTCTTATAACTTTTTATTTTTGTCCTCACTGCCCTCCAAGTTTTCTAGGATGATGCAATGTCCAGCCATCAACACATTTGTGAAGGAATTTTTACTCCCCAAAAGAGCGCCCCCCCATGGCAGGAGAAAAAAGTCAATTTTTTCTTGTCCCCTTACATGAAAATACACATTGTTGAGTGTCACGCCTGAACGCTTTGTCATATTGACACAAAAATTGACAATCATGTGTATCTCAATTAGATCTACGAAAAAGTCAAAGAGCGCGTATCTGTATAATGTACGGTTAAAGGGCTATTTCGCATTTTTTGCCGATTCGCACACCTTGGAATGTGGCTATCTCCTCCTAAGGCTTTCGTCCCACTGATACCAAATTTGCTCAGGGCAATCTACACCCCATGCCCATTCAAAGTTGTAAAAATCATGACGCTGCACCCCACGGTTTACGTTCTAGGGGGCGCCAAAGATGACCCAAAAATCCACATTCTTAAAAGTCATTTTGGCCACTGCAGGAGTACAGAGTACTGCAGTTCTAGGGGGCGCCAAAGATGACCCAAAAATCCACATTCTTAAAAGTCTTTTTGGCCACTGCAGGAGTACAGAGTACTGCAGGATACACACACTACACACACATATACACACACACACACACACACACACACACACACACACACACACACACACACACTCAGAGTCTGTTTTTTAGCACCTGCAAAAACATGCTGTTTACATATTTGACAAGAATGCAGAGGCTTCCTTTTGCCCCTGAAAAAAATCACATTTCAAACACAACTTGACTGTTCATTTCTCCAAAAGACAACCATGAAGCTCCATCCAAACCTGAAGCAGATAGTTGGTGCATGTGTACAGTAACCTGAGGGGAGTGAGGTGACTATTTCTGAGGAGAACATGAGCAGTGAAGATTCACCTTGGAGCTAGAACAGGGACGTGCACATGATTATACAGGGGCAGGGGCTCAAGTTTTTTCCAGTCATTTATACAATATGGAAATTAATGTGAAATTAAAAAACAAAGTATTAATAGAAAGGTTATGACTGTCCTGTGTAGGTGACAGTGATATCCAATAGGCTAGGCACTCACGAGGCTGGCTGTGGCAAGTGTAAGTGAAAGCAACACGCACTGGCAGGAAGAACAGCAAACGCCGATGAAGGAAAGGGTCTTTGCAGTGATGGGCGTTACCAGAGAGGACGATGGCCAGAGGACGCGAATGGGACGGGGAGGCAGCGCGTTGGGGGGGGCAGCGCGACACGGCTCGGGCCCGCCAGTGCCCCAACGGGGCCCTAGTTTGTTATTATTATTATTTTTCCTCCCCTTTGAACTGGAAAATGGCCCACTTCCCACTGGTGAAAACTCATGAAATTTGGCAGGACGACCGGGCCTGGTGAAAAATTTGATATTCCGAAGTCGCCCAAACAAGAAAATGCAAAATGGCTCCATAGCGCCCCCTAAGGTGAAAATTCACACTATTGACTGTCACGCCTGTACGCTTTGTCAAAATGACACAAAAATTGACACACACATGTATCTCAATAAGATCTACAAAAAAGTCAGTGCGGGCGTATCTGTCAAATGTACGGTTAAAGGGTTATTTCGCATTTTTTGCCGATCCGCACACATTGGAATTTCGCTAACTCCTCCGAAGGCTTTCGTTCCACCGGCACCACATTTGCTCAGGCCAATCTACACCCCATGGCCATTAAAAGTTATTCAAATCATGACGCTGCACCCCACGGTTTAGGTTCTAGGGGGCGCCAAAGATAACCCTAAGATCCACATATTTAAAAGTCTTATAACTTTTTATTTTTGCCCTCACTGGCCTCCAAGTTTTCTAGGATGATGCAATGTCCAGCCATCAACACATTTGTGAAGGAATTTTTACTCCCCAAAAGAGCGCCCCCCATGGCAGGAGAAAAAAGTCCATTTTTTCTTGTCCCCTAAGGTGAAAATACACATTGTTGAGTGTAACACCTGTACGCTTTGGCAAAATGACACAAAAATTGACACACACATGTATCTCAATAAGATCTACGAAAAAGTCAATGCGCGCGTATCTGTCAAATGTACGGTTAAAGGGTTATTCCGCATTTTTTGCCGATCCGCACACATTGGAATTTCGCTAACTCCTCCGAAGGCTTTCATTCCACCGGTACCACATTTGCTCAGGCCAATCTACACCCCATGGCCATTAAAAGTTATTCAAATCATGACGCTGCATCCCACGGTTTAGGTTCTAGGGGGCGCCAAAGATAACCCTAAAATCCACATATTTAAAAGTCTTATAACTTTTTATTTTTGTCCTCACTGGCCTCCATGTTTTCTAGGATGATGCAATGTCCAGCCATCAACACATTTGTGAAGGAATTTTTACTCCCCAAAAGAGCGCCCCCCCATGGCAGGAAAAAAAAGCCAATTTTTTCTTGTCCCCTAAGGTGGAAATTCACACTATTGACTGTCACGCCTGTACGCTTTATCATATTGACACAAAAATTGACACACATATGTATCTCAATAAGATCTACAAAAGAGTCGATTCGCGCGTATCTGTCAAATGTACGGTTAAAGGGCTATTTTGCATTTTTTGCCGATTCGCACACATTGGAATGTGGCTAACTCCTCCTAAGGCTTTCGTCCCACTGACACCAAATTTGCTCAGGCCAATCTACACCCCATGGCCATTCAAAGTTGTAAAAATCATGACGCTGCACCCCACGGTTTACGTTCTAGGGGGCGCCAAAGATGACCCAAAAATCCACATTCTTCAAAGAATCCACATCCCCCCCCCCCCATATGGCAGGAGAAAAAATTAAGTTTTTCCTGCCCATCGCTCAATGGCTCAATCGCATCGCTCTCCAGGCAACACCGTAAGGAGGAGCAACCTGCCATTTCGATATATCATAGCTGTGTTTGTGCCCTCACTCATGGTCCAGACTTTTTTCAAATAGGACATGAAGTTTGTCTGCAGCGAGTGTTTTGGTAGAAACTGCGCCTCCCATTCATTATAATAGGAAATGACCACAGACAAGTGCGCACACCATCTTTGGATCTTGAGTGTGACGCGATCGGGAGGGGGAGGCGGTCGCACTGGGGGCGGCGCGACACGGCTCGGGCCCGACAGTGCCCCAACGGGGTCCTAGTCTTTGTTTCTTTCTTTCTTTTTTCTTTTTCCTCCCCTTTGAACTTGAAAATGGCCCACTTCCCACTGGCGAAAACTCATGAAATTTGGCAGGACGACCGGGCCTGGTGAAAAATTTGATATTCTGAAGTCGCCAAAACAATAAAATGCAAAATGGCTCCATAGCGCCCCCTAAGGTGAAAATTCACACTATTCACTGTCACGACTGTACGCTTTGTCAAAATGACACAAAAATTGACACACACATGTATCTCAATAAGATCTACAAAAAAGTCAGTGCGGCCGTATCTGTCAAAATTACGGTTAAAGGGTTATTTCGCATTTTTTGCCGATCTGCACACATTGGAATTTCGCTAACTCCTCCGAAGGCTTTCGTTCCACCGGCACCACATTTGCTCAGGCCAATCTACACCCCGTGGCCATTAAAAGTTATCAAAATCATGACGCTGCACCCCAAGGTTTAGGTTCTAGGGGGCGCCAAAGATAACACTAAAATCTACATATTTAAAAGTCTTATAACTTTTTATTTTTGTCCTCACTGGCCTCCAAGTTTTCTAGGATGATGCAATGTCCAGCCATCAACACATTTGTGAAGGAATTTTTACTCCCCAAAAGAGCGCCCCCCCATGGCAGGAGAAAAAAGTCCATTTTTTCTTGTCCCCTAAGGTGAAAATACACATTGTTGAGTGTCACGCCTATACGCTTTGTCAAAATGACACAAAAATTGACACACACATGTAACTCAATAAGATCTACGAAAAAGTCAATGCGCGCGTATCTGTCAAATGTACGGTTAAAGGGTTATTCCGCATTTTTTGCCGATCCGCACACATTGGAATGTGGCTAACTCCTCCTAAGGCTTTCGTTCCACCGGCACCACATTTGCTCAGGCCAATCTACACCCCATGGCCATTAAAAGTTATCAAAATCATGACGCTGCACCCCACGGTTTAGGTTCTAGGGGGCGCCAAAGATAACCCTAAAATCCACATATTTAAAAGTCTTATAACTTTTTATTTTTGTCCTCACTGGCCTCCAAGTTTTCTAGGATGATGCAATGTCCAGCCATCAACACATTTGTGAAGGAATTTTTACTCCCCAAAAGAGCGCCCCCCCATGGCAGGAGAAAAAAGTCCATTTTTTCTTGTCCCCTAAGGTGAAAATACATATTGTTGAGATTCACGCCTATACGCTTTGTCATATTGACACAAAATTTGACAATCACGTGCCTTGCCTGGTATCATTTTTTTCAGCACAACCTCACCTGTGCGAATTTACAGTTATTTTATCATGTTGACATACTGAATTTACACAATGGACCCAAATTCACACACAAAACATAAAATCCGAGTGGAAAAAAGTAACATTTTTACTGTGAAAACCACAAATATGTGTGATGAACTGTTTTTAAAACTTAAACTTCAAATAAAAATTGTAAACTTCAAAACATATGCAAATTTTTAACAAAGAACATAGTGATTTACCTCTATTTACATCAAAATGCAGGCAATGGCCCAGGCGTTCTTTGTAAAATTATTTACAAAACACTGTTTAGTCTCACAAATGTCACTTTTTATTTATGCCACTACAAAAAAACATGATGTAAATGATGCATGATGTAAAACATGATGTAAAAAACTTGTGTAGATCCTCCTGTATGTCAGTCCATGTGTAATTTTTCCATAATTCTTTGTTTTTTGCAGCATTTTTGTTAGTGTAACTGCAGATTGTGCTGACAGTGTCTATGGCACAAAAAAAAAAAAAATTAAAATGCCTCAACATGAACCCCTGGTGGTCTCTGAGGGTGAAACCTGCTAACTGCTGCAGCTCTGTCAGCTTCAGTCTCCCATGCAGAGCTCTGAGCGCATGTGTGGCTCTGCACCCTTAGCAGCGTTGCTAACTCCTCAGTAAGGAAAGCCTGCTTCATGTCAGAGTCTCTAAACTCCAGAAGAAGTCGATAAAAGTCCCTTTCTTTCTAAAAAAAAGTCGTTAGGGGGTCTGAAAAGTCATTGAATCTAACAACAAAGTCGCTAGGTTTGCAACTACGTGTCCCAGACTGCATCCCTGCTGAGAGTCCCTCCCTCCCTTCTCATGTTGCAGGAAGAACGTAAGCGCCCTCCCCTTGTCAATCAGTCACCATATAATTTTGGATTGGTTGTTGTGGTGAAGTTTTCCACCAATAGGAGAGATGTTGTGGTGTGTTTTTTTTTTCTTTTGGCAAGCCTTTTCCGCCTGTAAGACCTGTTGCTAATGTCTGCATGCTATGTTTTCCTGTCTCATACAGCGCGATCGAGCGCCGAACGTGATCAAAATAAGCAGAAAAAAAGTATCGCGGACATAATTTATCATAACTCTGGTTTTATTTGGCCTATCAACACAATTTAAAAACTGGTATATAGGTTGAGGTCCTCACTTTTGAGATAAGTTGAAACGGAGAGTCAACGAGGCTCCGTCTTGCAGCTACATCCGGTTAAATATGTCATGTGACTTGAACGCACACACAGACACACACACACGCACACACACACACACACACACACACACACACACACTCAGAGTCTGGTTTTTAGCACCTGCAAAAACATGCTATTTACATATTTGACAAGAATGCAGAGGCTCCTTTTGCCCCTGAAAAAAATCAAATTTCAAACACAACTTGACTGGTCATTTCTCCAAAAGACAACCATGAAGCTCCATCCAAACCTGAAGCAGGCAGTTGGTGCATGTGTACAGTAACCTGAGGGGAGTGAGGTGAGTGCTTCTGAGGAGAACATGAGCAGTGAAGATTCACCTTGGAGCTAGAACAGAGACATGCACAAGATTATACAGGGGCAGGGGCTCAAGTTTTTTCCAGTCGTTTATACAATATGGAAATTAATGTGAAATTAAAACACAAAGTATTAATAGAAAGGTAATGACTGTCCTGTGTAGGTGACAGTGATATCGAATAGGCTAGGCACTCACGAGGCTGGCTGTGGCAAGTGTAAGTGAAAGCAACACGCACTGGCAGGAAGAACAGCAAACGCCGATGAAGGAAAAGGGTCTTTGCAGTGATGGGCGTTACAAGAGAGGGCGATGGCCAGAGGACACAAATGGGACGGGGAGGCAGCACGTTGGGGGGGGGGGGGGGCGACACGGCTCGGGCCCGCCAGTGCCCCAACGGGGTCCTAGTTCTTTCTTTAGGGCCCGAGCGTAGCTGCTAAGCAGCTGCGAGAGCCCTCTTGTTCCTGATGGATTCTTCTTTTGTTATTATTATTATTATTATTTTTCCTCCGCTTTAAACTGGAAAATGGCCCACTTCCCACTGGCGAAAACTCAGGAAATTTGGCAGGACGACCGGGCCTGGTGAAAAATTCGATATTCTGAAGTCGCCCAAACAATAAAATGCAAAATGGCTCCATAGCGCCCCCTAAGGTGAAAATTCACACTATTGACTGTCACGCCTGTACGCTTTGTCATATTGACACAAAAATTGACACACACATGTATCTCAATAAGATCTACAAAAAAGTCAGTGCGGGCGTATCTGTCAAATGTACGGTTAAAGGGTTATTTCGCATTTTTTGCAGATCCGCACACATTGGAATTTCGCTAACTCCTCCGAAGGCTTTCGTTCCACCGGCACCACATTTGCTCAGGCCAATCTACACTCCATGGCCATTCAAAGTTGTACAAATCATGATGCTGCACCCCATGGTTTAGGTTCTAGGGGGCGCCAAAAATAACCCAAAAATCCACATTCTTAAAAGTTTTATAACTTTTTTTTTTTGTCCTCACTGGCCTCCAAGTTTTCTAGGGTGATGCAATGTCCAGCCATCAACACATTTGTGAAGGAATTTTTACTCCCCAAAAGAGCGCCCCCCCATGGCAGGAGAAAAAAGTCAATTTTTTCTTGTCCCCTAAGGTGAAAATACACATTGTTGAGATTCACGCCTGTACGCTTTGTCATATTGACAAAAAATTTGACACACACATGTATCTCAATAAGATCTACGAAAAAGTCAATGCGCGCGTATCTGTAAAATGTACGGCTAAACGGCTATTTTGCATTTTTTGCCGATTCGCACACTTTGGAATGTGGCTAACTCCTCCTAAGGCTTTCATCCCACTGACACCAAATTTGCTCAGGCCAATCTACACCCCATGGCCATTCAAAGTTGTAAAAATCATGCCGCTGCACCCCATGGTTTACGTTCTAGGGGGCGCCAAAGATGACCCAAATATCCACATTCTTAAAAGTCGTTTTGGCAACTGCAGGAGTACAGAGTACTGCAGGATACACACACAGACACACACACACACAGACACACACACACACACACACACACACACACACACACACACACACACACACACACACATACACACACATACATACACACTCAGAGTCTGTTTTTTAGCACCTGCAAAAACATGCTATTTACATATTTGACAACAATGCAGAGACTTCCTTTTGCCCCTGAAAAAAATGAAATTTCAAACACAACTTGACTGCTCATTTCTCCAAAAGACAACCATGAAGCTCCATCCAAACCTGAAGCAGGCAGTTGGTGCATGTGTACAGTAACCTGAGGGGAGTGAGGTGACTGCTTCTGAGGAGAACATGAGCAGTGAAGATTCACCTTGGAGCTAGAACAGGGACGTGCACATGATTATACAGGGCCAGGGGCTCAAGTTTTTTCCAGTCGTTTAGACAATATGGAAATTAATGTGAAATTAAAAAACAAAGTATTAATAGAAAGGTAATGACTGTCCTGTGTAGGTGACAGTGATATCCAATAGGCTAGGATTTGGCAAGTGCAAGTGAAAGCAACACGCACTGGCAGGAAGAACAGCAAACGCAGATGAAGGAAAAGGGTCTTTGCAGTGATGGGCGTTACCAGAGAGGACGATGGCCAGAGGACGCGAATGGAATGGGGAGGCAGCGCGTTGGGGGCGGGGGGGGGGGGGGGGGCGCGACACAGCTCGGGCCCGACAGTGCCCCAACGGGGCCCTAGTTAGGGCCCGAGCGTAGCTGCTAAGCAGCTGCGAGAGCCCTCTTGTTCCTGCATGTTTCCTTCTTTTGTTATTATTAGGGCCCGAGCGTAGCTGCTAAGCAGCTGCGAGAGCCCTCTTGTTCCTGTAGTTTCCTTCTTTTGTTATTATTATTATTATTATTTTTCCTCCCCTTTGAACTGGAAAATGGCCCACTTCCCACTGGCGAAAACTCATGAAATTTGGCAGGACGACCGGGCCTGGTGAAAAATTTGATATTCCGAAGTTGCCCAAACCAGAAAATGCAAAATGGCTCCATAGCGCCCCCTAAGGTGAAAATTCACACTATTCACTGTCACGCCTGTACGCTTTGTCAAAATGACACAAAAATTGACACACACATGTATCTCAATAAGATCTACAAAAAAGTCAGTGCGGGCGTATCTGTCAAATGTACGGTTAAAGGGTTATTCCGCATTTTTTGCCGATCCGCACACATTGGAATTTCGCTAACTCCTCCGAAGGCTTTCGTTCCACCGGCACCACATTTGCTCAGGCCAATCTACACCCCATGGCCATTAAAAGTTATTCAAATCATGACGCTGCACCCCACGGTTTAGGTTCTAGGGGGCGCCAAAGATAACCCTAAGATCCACATATTTAAAAGTCTTATAACTTTTTATTTTTGCCCTCACTGGCCTCCAAGTTCTCTAGGATGATGCAATGTCCAGCCATCAACACATTTGTGAAGGAATTTTTACTCCCCAAAAGAGCGCCCCCCCATGGCAGGAGAAAAAAATCCATTTTTTCTTGTCCCCTAAGGTGAAAATACACATTGTTGAGTGTAACACCTGTACGCTTTGGCAAAATGACACAAAAATTGACACACACATGTATCTCAATAAGATCTACGAAAAAGTCAATGCGCGCGTATCTGTCAAATGTACGGTTAAAGGGTTATTCCGCATTTTTTGCCGATCCGCACACATTGGAATTTCGCTAACTCCTCCGAAGGCTTTCGTTCCACCGGCACCACATTTGCTCAGGCCAATCTACACCCCATGGCCATTAAAAGTTATTCAAATCATGACGCTGCACCCCACGGTTTAGGTTCTAGGGGGCGCCAAAGATAACCGTAAAATCCACATATTTAAAAGTCTTATAACTTTTTATTTTTGTCCCCACTGGCCTCCAAGTTTTCTAGGATGATGCAATGTCCAGCCATCAACACATTTGTGAAGGAATTTTTACTCGGCAAAAGAGCGCCCCCCCATGGCAGGAGAAAAAAGTCAATTTTTTCTTGTCCACTAAGGTGAAAATACACATTGTTGAGTGCTACGCCTGTATGTTTTGTCGTATTGACACAAAATTTTACATACACGTGTATTTCAATAAGATCTTCGAAAAAGTCAATGGCCACGTATCTGTAAAATGTATGGTTAAAGGGTTATTTCGCATTTTTTGCAGATTCGCACACATTGGAATTTCGCTAATTCCTCCGAAGGCTTTCGTTCCACCGGCACCACATTTGCTCAGGCCAATCTACACCCCATGGCCATTAAAAGTTATTCAAATCATGACGCTGCACCCCACGGTTTAGGTTCTAGGGGGCGCCAAATATAACCCTAAAATCCACATATTTAAAAGTCTTATAACTTTTTATTTTTGTCCTCACTGGCCTCCATGTTTTCTAGGATGATGCAATGTCCAGCCATCAACACATTTGTGAAGGAATTTTTACTCCCCAAAAGAGCGCCCCCCCATGGCAGGAGAAAAAAGTCCATTTTTTCTTGTCCCCTAAGGTGAAAATACACATTGTTGAGTGTAACACCTGTACGCTTTGGCAAAATGACACAAAAATTGACACACACATGTATCTCAATAAAATCTACGAAAAAGTCAATGCGCGCGTATCTGTCAAATGTACGGTTAAAGGGTTATTCCGCATTTTTTGCCGATCCGCACACATTGGAATTTCGCTAACTCCTCCGAAGGCTTTCGTTCCACCGGCACCACATTTGCTCAGGCCAATCTACACCCCATGGCCATTAAAAGTTATTCAAATCATGACGCTGCACCCCACGGTTTAGGTTCTAGGGGGCGCCAAAGATAACCCTAAGATCCACATATTTAAAAGTCTTATAACTTTTTATTTTTGCCCTCACTGGCCTCCAAGTTTTCTAGGATGATGCAATGTCCAGCCATCAACACATTTGTGAAGGAATTTTTACTCCCCAAAAGAGCGCCCCCCCATGGCAGGAGAAAAAAGTCCATTTTTTCTTGTCCCCTAAGGTGAAAATACACATTGTTGAGTGTAACACCTGTACGCTTTGGCAAAATGACACAAAAATTGACACACACATGTATCTCAATAAAATCTACGAAAAAGTCAATGCGCGCGTATCTGTCAAATGTACGGTTAAAGGGTTATTCCGCATTTTTTGCCGATCCGCACACATTGGAATTTCGCTAACTCCTCCGAAGGCTTTCGTTCCACCGGCACCACATTTGCTCAGGCCAATCTACACCCCATGGCCATTAAAAGTTATTCAAATCATGACGCTGCACCCCACGGTTTAGGTTCTAGGGGGCGCCAAAGATAACCCAAAAATCCACATATTTAAAAGTCTTATAACTTTTTATTTTTGTCCTCACTGGCCTCCAAGTTTTCTAGGATGATGCAATGTCCAGCCATCAACACATTTGTGAAGGAATTTTTACTCCCCAGAAGAGCGCCCCCCCATGGCAGGAGAAAAAAGTCAATTTTTTCTTGTCCCCTAAGGTGGAAATTCACACTATTGACTGTCACGCCTGTACGCTTTATCATATTGACACAAAAATTGACACACATATGTATCTCAATAAGATCTACAAAAAAGTCAATGCGCGCGTATCTGTCAAATGTACGGTTAAAGGGCTATTTTGCATTTTTTGCCGATTCGCACACATTGGAATGTGGCTAACTCCTCCTAAGGCTTTCGTCCCACTGACACCAAATTTGCTCAGGCCAATCTACACCCCATGGCCATTCAAAGTTGTAAAAATCATGACGCTGCACCCCACGGTTTAGGTTCTAGGGGGCGCCAAATATAACCCTAAAATCCACATATTTAAAAGTCTTATAACTTTTTATTTTTGTCCTCACTGGCCTCCATGTTTTCTAGGATGATGCAATGTCCAGCCATCAACACATTTGTGAAGGAGTTTTTTCTCTTTAAAAGAGCGCCCCCCCATGGCAGGAGAATAAAGTCAAGTTTTTCCTGTTCATCATTCAATGGCTCAAACGCACTGCTCTCTCGGCAAAAGCGAAAGGAGGAGCAACTTGCCATTTGGATATATCTTAGCTGTGTTTGTGCCCTCACTCATGGTCCAGACTTTTTTCAAATAGGACATGGAGTTTTTCTGCAGCGAGCGTTTTGGTAGAAACTGCGCCTCCCGTTCATTATAATGGTAAATGACCACAAACAAGTGCGCACACCATCTTTGGACCTTGAGTGTGACGCGATCGGGTGGGGGAGGCGGTCGCGCTGGGGGCGGCGTGACACGGCTCGGGCCCGCCAGTGCCCCAACGGGGCCCTAGTTATTAGGGCCCGAGCGTAGCTGCTAAGCAGCTGCGAGAGCCCTATTATTCCCCAAGGGGTTTTTCTTTGTTTCTTTTTTCTTTTTCCTCCCCTTTGAACTGGAAAATGGCCCACTTCCCACTGGCGAAAACTCATGAAATTTGGCAGGACGACCGGGCCTGGTGAAAAATTTGATATTCCGAAGTCGCCCAAACAAGAAAATGCAAAATGGCTCCATAGCGCCCCCTAAGGTGAAAATTCACACTATTGAGTGTCACGCCTGTACGCTTTGTCAAAATGACACAAAATTTGACACACACATGTATCTCAATAAGATCTACAAAAAAGTCAGTGCGGGCGTATCTGTCAAATGTACGGTTAAAGGGTTATTTCGCATTTTTTGCTGATCCGCACACATTGGAATTTCGCTAACTCCTCCGAAGGCTTTCGTTCCACCGGCACCACATTTGCTCAGGCCAATCTACACCCCATGGCCATTAAAAGTTATTCAAATCATGACGCTGCACCCCACGGTTTAGGTTCTAGGGGGCGCCAAAGATAACCCTAAAATCCACATATTTAAAAGTCTTATAACTTTTTATTTTTGCCCTCACTGGCCTCCAAGTTTTCTAGGATGATGCAATGTCCAGCCATCAACACATTTGTGAAGGAATTTTTACTCCCCAAAAGAGCGCCCCCCCATGGCAGGAGAAAAAAGTCCATTTTTTCTTGTCCCCTAAGGTGAAAATACACATTGTTGAGTGTCACGCCTGTACGCTTTGTCAAAATGACACAAAAATTGACACACACATGTATCTCAATAAGATCTACAAAAAAGTCCATGCGCGCGTATCTGTCAAATGTACGGTTAAAGGGTTATTCCGCATTTTTTGCCGATTCGCACACATTGGAATTTCGCTAACTCCTCCGAAGGCTTTCGTTCCACCGGCACCACATTTGCTCAGGCCAATCTACACCCCATGGCCATTAAAAGTTATTCAAATCATGACGCTGCACCCCACGGTTTACGTTCTAGGGGGCGCCAAAGATAACCCAAAAATCCACATTCTTAAAAGTCTTATAACTTTTTACTTTTGTCCTCACTGGCCTCCAAGTTTTCTAGGATGATGCAATGTCCAGCCATCAACACATTTGTGAAGGAATTTTTACTCCCTAAAAGAGCGCCCCCCATGGCAGGAGAAAAAAATCAATTTTTTCTTGTCCCCTAAGGTGAAAATACACATTGTTGACTGTCACGCCTGTACGCTTTGGCAAAATGACACAAAAATTGACAATCATGTGTATCTCAATTAGATCTACGAAAAAGTCAAAGAGCGCGTATCTGTATAATGTACGGTAAAAGGGCTATTTTGCATTTTTTGCCGATTCGCACACATTGGAATTTCGCTAACTCCTCCTAAGGCTTTCGTCCCACTGACACCAAATATGCTCAGGCCAATCTACACTCCATGGCCATTCAAAGTTGTAAAAATCATGACGCTGCACCCCACGGTTTACGTTTTGGGGGGCGCCAAAGATGACCCAAATATACATTACAGTAGACAAAGTAGTTTTGCCCACTGAGTGGCGCCAAAGGGACTTGTCTGTGGAGTCTGTGAGTCACTATTGGCCGTTTTTGACTACTTTAGATTTTACCTTTATATTTCCTCTTACAAAATTTTTACCTTGCCTTGCCTGGTATCATTTTTTTCAGCACAACCTCACCTGTGTCAATTTACAGTTATTTTATCATTTTGACATACTATATTTACACATTGGACCCAAATTCACACACAAAACATAAAATCCGAGTGGAAAAAAGTAACGTTTTTACTGTGAAAACCACAAATATGTGTGATGAACTGTTTTTAAAACTTAAACTTCAAATAAAAATTGTAAACTTCAAAACATATGCAAATTTTTAACAAAGAACATAGTAATTTACCTCTATTTACATCAAAATGCAGGCAATGGCCCAGGTGTTCTTTGTAAAATTATTTACAAAACACTGTATAGTCTCACAAATGTCACTTTTTATTTATGCCACTACAAAAAAACATGATGTAAATGATGCATGATGTAAAACATGATGTAAAAAACTTGTGTATATCCTCCTCTATGTTAGTCCATGTGTAATTTTTCCATAATTCTTTGTTTTTTGCAGCATTTTTGTTAGTGTAACTGCAGATTGTGCTGACAGTGTCTATGGCAAAAAAAAAAAAAAACTGAAAATGCCTCAACATGAACCCCTGGTGGTCTCTGAGGGTGAAACCTGCTAACTGCTGCAGATCTGTCAGCTTCATGCAGAGCTCGGAGCACATGTGTGGCTCTGCACCCTTAGCAGCGTTGCTAACTCCTCAGTAAGGAAAGCCTGCTTCATGTCAGAGTCTCTAAACTCCAGAAGAAGTCGATAAAAGTCACTTTCTTTCTAAAAAAAAAGTCGTTAGGGGGTCTGAAAAGTCATTGAATCTAACAACAAAGTCGCTAGGTTTGCAACTACGTGTCCCAGACTGCATCCCTGCTGAGAGTCCCTCCCTCCCTTCTCATATTGCAGGAAGAACGTAAGCACCCGCCCCTTGTCAATCAGTCACCATATAATTTTGGATTGGTTGTTGTGGTGAAGTTTTCCACCAATAGGAGAGATGTTGTGGTGTGTTTTCTTTTTCCTTTGGCAAGCCTTTTCCGCCTGTAAGACCTGTCGCTAATGTCTGCATGCTATGTTTTCCTGTCTCATACAGCGCGATCGAGCGCCGAACGTGATCAAAATAAGCAGAAAACAAGTATCGGGGACATAATTTATCATAACTCTGGTTTTATTTGGCCTATCAACACAATTTAAAAACTGGTATATAGGTTGAGGTCCTCACTTTTGAGATAAGTTGAAACGGAGTCAACGAGGCTCCGTCTTGCAGCTACATCCGGTTAAATATGTCATGTGACTTGAACGCACACACACACACACACACACACACACACACACACACACACACACACACACACACACACACAGACACACACACACACGCACACACACACACTCAGAGTCTGGTTTTTAGCACCTGCAAAAACATGCTATTTACATATTTGACAAGAATGCAGAGGCTCCTTTTGCCCCTGAAAAAAATCAAATTTCAAACACAACTTGACTGGTCATTTCTCCAAAAGACAACCATGAAGCTCCATCCAAACCTGAAGCAGGCAGTTGGTGCATGTGTACAGTAACCTGAGGGGAGTGAGGTGACTGCTTCTGAGGAGAACATGAGCAGTGAAGATTCACCTTAGAGCTAGAACAGAGACGTGCACATGATTATACAGGGGCAGGGGCTCAAGTTTTTTCCACTTGTTTATACAATATGGAAATTAATGTGAAATTAAAAAACAAAGTATTAATAGAAAGGTAATGACTGTCCTGAGTAGGTGACAGTGATATCCAATAGGCTAGGCACTCAAGAGGCTGGCTGTGGCAAGTGTAAGTGAAAGCAACACGCACTGGCAGGAAGAACAGCAAACGCCGATGAAGGAAAAGGGTCTTTGCAGTGATGGGTGTTACCAGAGAGGGCGATGGCCAGAGGACACGAATGGGACGGGGAGGCAGCGCGTTGGGGGGGGGACGCGACACAGCTCGGGCCCGCCAGTGCCCCAACGGGGTCCTAGTTATTTTTCCTCCCCTTTGAACTGGAAAATGGCCCACTTCCCACTGGCGAAAACTCATGAAATTTGGCAGGACGACCGGGCCTGGTGAAAAATTTGATATTCCGAAGTCGGCCAAACAAGAAAATGCAAAATGGCTCCATAGCGCCCCCTAAGGTGAAAATTCACACTATTGACTGTCACGCCTGTACGCTTTGTCAAAATGACACAAAAATTGACACACACATGTATCTCAATAAGATCTACAAAAAAGTCAGTGCGGGCGTATCTGTCAAATGTACGGTTAAAGGGTTATTTCGCATTTTTTGCCGATCCGCACACATTGGAATTTCGCTAACTCCTCCGAAGGCTTTCGTTCCACCGGCACCACATTTGCTCAGGCCAATCTACACCCCATGGCCATTAAAAGTTATTCAAATCATGACGCTGCACCCCACGGTTTAGGTTCTAGGGGGCGCCAAAGATAACCCTAAGATCCACATATTTAAAAGTCTTATAACTTTTTATTTTTGCCCTCACTGGCCTCCAAGTTTTCTAGGATGATGCAATGTCCAGCCATCAACACATTTGTGAAGGAATTTTTACTCCCCAAAAGAGCGCCCCCCCATGGCAGGAGAAAAAAGTCCATTTTTTCTTGTCCCCTAAGGTAAAAATACACATTGTTGAGTGTAACACCTGTACGCTTTGGCAAAATGACACAAAAATTGACACACACATGTATCTCAATAAGATCTACGAAAAAGTCAATGCGCGCATATCTGTTAAATGTACGGTTAAAGGGTTATTCCGCATTTTTTGCCGATCCGCACACATTGGAATTTCGCTAACTCCTCCGAAGGCTTTCGTTCCACCGGCACCACATTTGCTCAGGCCAATCTACACCCCATGGCCATTAAAAGTTATTCAAATCATGACGCTGCACCCCACGGTTTAGGTTCTAGGGGGCGCCAAAGATAACCGTAAAATCCACATATTTAAAAGTCTTATAACTTTTTATTTTTGTCCCCACTGGCCTCCAAGTTTTCTAGGATGATGCAATGTCCAGCCATCAACACATTTGTGAAGGAATTTTTACTCGCCAAAAGAGCGCCCCCCCATGGCAGGAGAAAAAAGTCCATTTTTTCTTGTCCACTAAGGTGAAAATACACATTGTTGAGTGCTACGCCTGTATGTTTTGTCGTATTGACACAAAATTTTACATACACGTGTATTTCAATAAGATCTTCCAAAAAGTCAATGGCCACGTATCTGTAAAATGTACGGTTAAAGGGTTATTTTGCATTTTTTGCAGATTCGCACACATTGGAATTTCGCTAACTCCTCCGAAGGCTTTCGTTCCACCGGCACCACATTTGCTCAGGCCAATCTACACCCCATGGCCATTAAAAGTTATTCAAATCATGACGCTGCACCCCACGGTTTAGGTTCTAGGGGGCGCCAAAGATAACCCTAAAATCCACATATTTCAAAGTCTTATAACTTTTTATTTTTGTCCTCACTGGCCTCCATGTTTTCTAGGATGATGCAATGTCCAGCCATCAACACATTTGTGAAGGAGTTTTTTCTCGTTAAAAGAGCGCCCCCCCCTGGCAGGAGAATAAAGTCAAGTTTTTCCTGTTCATCATTCAATGGCTCAAACGCACTGCTCTCTCGGCAAAAGCGAAAGGAGGAGCAACTTGCCATTTGGATATATCTTAGCTGTGTTTGTGCCCTCACTCATGGTCCAGACTTTTTTCAAATAGGACATGGAGTTTTTCTGCAGCGAGCGCTTTGGTAGAAACTGCGCCTCCCGTTCATTATAATGGTAAATGACCACAAACAAGTGCGCACACCATCTTTGGACCTTGAGTGTGACGCGATCGGGTGGGGGAGGCGGTCGCGCTGGGGGCGGCGTGACACGGCTCGGGCCCGCCAGTGCCCCAACGGGGCCCTAGTTAGGGCCCGAGCGTAGCTGCTAAGCAGCTGCGAGAGCCCTCTTGTTCCTGCATGTTTCCTTCTTTTGTTATTAGGGCCCGAGCGTAGCTGCTAAGCAGCTGCGAGAGCCCTATTATTCCCCAAGTGGTTTTTCTTTGTTTCTTTTTTCTTTTTCCTCCCCTTTGAACTGGAAAATGGCCCACTTCCCACTGGCGAAAACTCATGAAATTTGGCAGGACGACCGGGCCTGGTGAAAAATTTGATATTCTGAAGTCGCCCAAACAATACAATGCAAAATGGCTCCATAGCGCCCCCTAAGGTGAAAAATTCACCTGACGCCTGTACGCTTTGTCAAAATGACACAAAAATTGACACACACATGTATCTCAATAAGATCTACAAAAAAGTCAGTGCGGGCGTATCTGTCAAATGTACGGTTAAAGGGTTATTGCGCATTTTTTGCCGATCCGCACACATTGGAATTTCGCTAACTCCTCCGAAGGCTTTCGTTCCACCGGCACCACATTTGCTCAGGCCAATCTACACCCCATGGCCATTAAAAGTTATTCAAATCATGACGCTGCACCCCACGGTTTAGGTTCTAGGGGGCGCCAAAGATAACCCTAAAATCCACATATTTCAAAGTCTTATAACTTTTTATTTTTGCCCTCACTGGCCTCCAAGTTTTCTAGGATGATGCAATGTCCAGCCATCAACACATTTGTGAAGGAATTTTTACTCCCCAAAAGAGCGCCCCCCCATGGCAGGAGAAAAAAGTCCATTTTTTCTTGTCCCATAAGGTGAAAATTCACACTATTGACTGTCACGCCTGTACGCTTTGTCAAAATTACACAAAAATTGACACACACATGTATCTCAATAAGATCTACAAAAAAGTCAGTGCTGGCATATCTGTCAAATGTACGGTTAAAGGGTTATTGCGCATTTTTTGCCGATCCGCACACATTGGAATTTCGCTAACTCCTCCGAAGGCTTTCGTTCCACCGGCACCACATTTGCTCAGGCCAATCTACACCCCATGGCCATTAAAAGTTATTCAAATCATGACGCTGCACCCCACGGTTTAGGTTCTAGGGGGCGCCAAAGATAACCCTAAAATCCACATATTTAAAAGTCTTTTAACTTTTTATTTTTGTCCTCTCTGGCCTCCAAGTTTTCTAGGATGATGCAATGTCCAGCCATCAACACATTTGTGAAGGAATTTTTACTCCCCAAAAGAGCGCCCCCCCATGGCAGGAGAAAAAAGTCCATTTTTTCTTGTCCCATAAGGTGAAAATACACATTGTTGACTGTCATACCTGTATGCTTTGTCATATTGACACAAAATTTGACACACACATGTATCTCAATAAGATCTACGAAAAAGTCAATGCGCGCGTATCTGTAAAATGTACGGTTAAAGGGCTATTTTGCATTTTTTGCCGATTAGCACACATTGGAATGTGGCTAACTCCTCCTAAGGCTTTCGTCCCACTGACACCAAATTTGCTCAGGCCAATCTACACCCCATGGCCATTCAAAGTTTTAAAAATCATGACGCTGCACCCCACGGTTTACGTTCTAGGGGGCGCCAAAGATGACCCAAATATCCACATTCTTAAAAGTCTTTTAACTTTTTATTTTTGTCCTCACTGGCCTCCAAGTTTTCTAGGATGATGCAATGTCCAGCCATCAACACATTTGTGAAGGAATTTTTACTCCCCAAAAGAGCGCCCCCCCATGGCAGGAGAAAAAAGTCCATTTTTTCTTGTCCCCTAAGGTGAAAATACACATTGTTGACTGTCACGCCTGTACGCTTTGGCAAAATGACACAAAAATTGACAATCATGTGTATCTCAATTAGATCTACGAAAAAGTCAAAGAGCGCGTATCTGTATAATGTACGGTAAAAGGGCTATTTTGCATTTTTTGCCAATTCGCACACATTGGAATTTCGCTAACTCCTCCTAAGGCCTTCGTCCCACTGACACCAAATTTGCTCAGGCCAATCTACACTCCATGGCCATTCAAAGTTGTAAAAATCATGACGCTGCACCCCACGGTTTACGTTTTAGGGGGCGCCAAAGATGACCCAAATATACATTACAGTACACAAAGTAGTTTTGCCCACTGAGTGGCGCCAAAGGGACTTGTCTGTGGAGTCTGTGAGTCACTATTGGCCGTTTTTGACTACTTTAGATTTTACCTTTATATTTCCTCTTACAAAATTTTTACCTTGCCTTGCCTGGTATCATTTTTTTCAGCACAACCTCACCTGTGTCAATTTACAGTTATTTTATCATTTTGACATACTATATTTACACATTGGACCCAAATTCACACACAAAACATAAAATCCGAGTGGAAAAAAGTAACGTTTTTACTGTGAAAACCACAAATATGTGTGATGAACTGTTTTTAAAACTTAAACTTCAAATAAAAATTGTAAACTTCAAAACATATGCAAATTTTTAACAAAGAACATAGTAATTTACCTCTATTGACATCAAAATGCAGGCAATGGCCCAGGTGTTCTTTGTAAAATTATTTACAAAACACTGTATAGTCTCACAAATGTCACTTTTTATTTATGCCACTACAAAAAAACATGATGTAAATGATGCATGATGTAAAACATGATGTAAAAAACTTGTGTAGATCCTCCTCTATGTTAGTCCATGTGTAATTTTTCCATAATTCTTTGTTTTTTGCAGCATTTTTGTTAGTGTAACTGCAGATTGTGCTGACAGTGTCTATGGCAAAAAAAAAAAAAAAAAAAACTGAAAATGCCTCAACATGAACCCCTGGTGGTCTCTGAGGGTGAAACCTGCTAACTGCTGCAGCTCTGTCAGCTTCAGTCTCCCATGCAGAGCTCGGAGCGCATGTGTGGCTCTGCACCCTTAGCAGTGTTGCTAACTCCTCAGTAAGGAAAGCCTGCTTCATGTCAGAGTCTCTAAACTCCAGAAGAAGTCGATAAAAGTCACTTTCTTTCTAAAAAAAAGTCGTTAGGGGGTCTGAAAAGTCATTGAATCTAACAACAAAGTCGCTAGGTTTGCAACTACGTGTCCCAGACTGCATCCCTGCTGAGAGTCCCTCCCTCCCTTCTCATATTGCAGGAAGAACGTAAGTTCCCGCCCCTTGTCAATCAGTCACCATATAATTTTGGATTGGTTGTTGTGGTGAAGTTTTCCACCAATAGGAGAGATGTTGTGGTGTGTATTTTTTTTCCTTTGGCAAGCCTTTTCCGCCTGTAAGACCTGTCGCTAATGTCTGCATGCTATGTTTTCCTGTCTCATACAGCGCGATCGAGCGCCGAACGTGATCAAAATAAGCAGAAAACAAGTATCGCGGACATAATTTATCATAACTCTGGTTTTATTTGGCCTATCAACACAATTTAAAAACTGGTATATAGGTTGAGGTCCTCACTTTTGAGATAAATTGAAACGGAGAGTCAACGAGGCTCTGTCTTGCAGCTACATCCGGTTAAATATGTCATATGACTTGAACGCACACACACACACACACACACACACACAAAGACACACACACACACGCACACACACACACTCAGAGTCTGGTTTTTAGCACCTGCAAAAACATGCTATTTACATATTTGACAAGAATGCAGAGGCTCCTTTTGCCCCTGAAAAAAATCAAATTTCAAACACAACTTGACTGGTCATTTCTCCAAAAGACAACCATGAAGCTCCATCCAAACCTGAAGCAGGCAGTTGGTGCATGTGTACAGTAACCTGAGGGGAGGTGACTGCTTCTGAGGAGAACATGAGCAGTGAAGATTCACCTTAGAGCTAGAACAGAGACGTGCACATGATTATACAGGGGCAGGGGCTCAAGTTTTTTCCAGTTGTTTATACAATATGGAAATTAATGTGAAATTAAAAAACAAAGTATTAATAGAAAGGTAATGACTGTCCTGTGTAGGTGACAGTGATATCCAATAGGCTAGGCACTCACGAGGCTGGCTGTGGCAAGTGTAAGTGAAAGCAACACGCACTGGCAGGAAGAACAGCAAACGCCGATGAAGGAAAAGGGTCTTTGCAGTGATGGGCGTTACCAGAGAGGGCGACGGCCAGAGGACGCGAATGGGACGGGGAGGCAGCGCGTTGGGGGGGGGACGCGACACAGCTCGGGCCCGCCAGTGCCCCAACGGGGTCCTAGTTATTATTTTTCCTCCCCTTTGAACTGGAAAATGGCCCACTTCCCACTGGCGAAAACTCATGAAATTTGGCAGGACGACCGGGCCTGGTGAAAAATTTGATATTCTGAAGTCGCCCAAACAAGAAAATGCAAAATGGCTCCATAGCGCCCCCTAAGGTGAAAAATTCACCTGACGCCTGTACGCTTTGTCAAAATGACACAAAAATTGACACACACATGTATCTCAATAAGATCTACAAAAAAGTCAGTGCGGTCGTATCTGTCAAATGTACGGTTAAAGGGTTATTGCGCATTTTTTGCCGATCCGCACACATTGGAATTTCGCTAACTCCTCCGAAGGCTTTCGTTCCACCGGCACCACATTTGCTCAGGCCAATCTACACCCCATGGCCATTAAAAGTTATTCAAATCATGACGCTGCACCCCACGGTTTAGGTTCTAGGGGACGCCAAAGATAACCCTAAAATCCACATATTTAAAAGTCTTATAACTTTTTATTTTTGTCCTCACTGGCCTCCAAGTTTTCTAGGATGATGCAATGTCCAGCCATCAACACATTTGTGAAGGAATTTTTAATCCCCAAAAGAGCGCCCCCCCATGGCAGGAGAAAAAAGTCCATTTTTTCTTGTCCCCTAAGGTGAAAATACACATTGTTGAGTGTCACGCCTGTACGCTTTGTCATATTGACACAAAATTTGACACACACATGAATCTCAATAAGATCTACGAAAAAGTCAATGCGCGCGTATCTGTCAAATGTACGGTTAAAGGGTTATTCCGCATTTTTTGCTGATCCGCACACATTGGAATTTCGCTAACTCCTCCTAAGGCTGGCGTTCCACCGGCACCACATTTGCTCAGGCCAATCTACACCCCATGGCCATTAAAAGTTATTCAAATCATGACGCTGCACCCCACGGTTTAGGTTCTAGGGGGCGCCAAAGATAACCCTAAAATCCACATATTTCAAAGTCTTATAACTTTTTATTTTTGTCCTCACTGGCCTCCAAGTTTTCTAGGATGATGCAATGTCCAGCCATCAACACATTTGTGAAGGAATTTTTACTCCCCAAAAGAGCGCCCCCCCATGGCAGGAGAAAAAAGTCCATTTTTTCTTGTCCCATAAGGTGAAAAAACACATTGTTGACTGTCATACCTGTACGCTTTGTCATATTGACACAAAATTTGACAATCACATGTATCTCAATAAGATCTACGAAAAAGTCAATGCGCGCGTATCTGTAAAATGTACGGTTTAAGGGCTATTTTGCATTTTTTGCCGATTCGCACACATTGGAATGTGGCTAACTCCTCCTAAGGCTTTCGTCCCACTGACACCAAATTTGCTCAGGCCAATCTACACCCCATGGCCATTCCAAGTTTTAAAAATCATGACGCTGCACCCCACGGTTTACGTTCTAGGGGGCGCCAAAGATGACCCAAATATCCACATTCTTAAAAGAATCCACATCCCCCCCCCCCCCATCCCCCAACCCCCAACCCCCATGGCAGGAGAAACAGTCAAGTTTTTCCTGCCCATCACTCAATGGCTCAATCGCATCACTCTCCCGGCAACACCGTAACGAGGAGCAACTTGCCGTTTGGATATATCCTAGCTGTGTTATGTGCCCTCACTCATGGTCCAGACTTTTTTCAAATAGGACATGTAGTTTGTCTGCAGCGAGTGTTTTGGTAGAAACTGCGCCTCCCATTCATTATAATGGGAAATGACCACAGACAAGTGCGCACACCATCTTTGGACCTTGAGTGTGACGCGATCGGGAGGGGGAGGCGGTCGCGCTAGGGGCGGCGCAACGCGGCTCGGGCCCGACAGTGCCCCACCGGGGCCCTAGTTCTTTCTTTCTTTCTTCTTTTTCCTCCCCTTTGAACTGGAAAATGGCCCACTTCCCACTGGCGAAAACTCATGAAATTTGGCAGGACGACCGGGCCTGGTGAAAAATTCGATATTCTGAAGTCGCCCAAACAATAAAATGCAAAATGGCTCCATAGCGCCCCCTAAGGTGGAAATTCACACTATTGACTGTCACGCCTGTACGCTTTGTCATATTGACACAAAAATTGACACACATATGTATCTCAATAAGATCTACAAAAAAGTCAGTGCGGCCGTATCTGTCAAAATTACGGTTAAAGGGTTATTTCGCATTTTTTGCCGATCCGCACACATTGGAATTTCGCTAACTCCTCCGAAGGCTTTCGTTCCACCGGCACCACATTTGCTCAGGCCAATCTACACCCCGTGGCCATTAAAAGTTATCAAAATCATGACGCTGCACCCCAAGGTTTAGGTTCTAGGGGGCGCCAAAGATAACACTAAAATCCACATATTTAAAAGTCTTATAACTTTTTATTTTTGTCCTCACTGGCCTCCAAGTTTTCTAGGATGATGCAATGTCCAGCCATCAACACATTTGTGAAGGAATTTTTACTCCCCAAAAGAGCGCCCCCCATGGCAGGAGAAAAAAGTCCATTTTTTCTTGTCCCCTAAGGTGAAAATACACATTGTTGAGTGTCACGCCTATACGCTTTGTCAAAATGACACAAAAATTGACACACACATGTAACTCAATAAGATCTACAAAAAAGTCCATGCGCGCGTATCTGTCAAATGTACAGTTAAAGGGTTATTCCGCATTTTTTGCCGATACGCACACATTGGAATTTCGCTAACTCCTCCGAAGGCTTTCGTTCCACCGGCACCACATTTGCTCAGGCCAATCTACACCCCATGGCCATTAAAAGTTATTCAAATCATGATGCTGCACCCCATGGTTTAGGTTCTAGGGGGCGCCAAAAATAACCCAAAAATCCACATTCTTAAATGTTTTATAACTTTTTATTTTTGTCCTCACTGGCCTCCAAGTTTTCTAGGATGATGCAATGTCCAGCCATCAACACATTTGTGAAGGAATTTTTACTCCCCAAAAGAGCGCCCCCCATGGTAGGAGAAAAAAGTCAATTTTTTCTTGTCCCCTTACATAAAAATACACATTGTTGAGTGTCACGCCTGAACGCTTTGTCATATTGACACAAAAATTGACAATCATGTGTATCTCAATTAGATCTACGAAAAAGTCAAAGAGCGCGTATCTGTATAATGTACGGTTAAAGGGCTATTTTGCATTTTTTGCCGATTCGCACACATTGGAATGTGGCTATCTCCTCCTGAGGCTTTCGTCCCACCGATACCAAATTTGCTCAGGGCAATCTACACCCCATGCCCATTCAAAGTTGTAAAAATCATGACGCTGCACCCCACGGTTTACGTTCTAGGGGGCGCCAAAGATGACCCAAAAATCCACATTCTTAAAAGTCATTTTGGCCACTGCAGGAGTACAGAGTACTGCAGTTCTAGGGGGCGCCAAAGATGACCCAAAAATCCACATTCTTAAAAGTCTTTTTGGCCACTGCAGGAGTACAGAGTACTGCAGGATACACACACATATACACACACGCCAACATACACACACACACACACACACACACACACACACACACACACACACACACACACAGACACACACACACACTCAGAGTCTGTTTTTTAGCACTTGCAAAAACATGCTGTTTACATATTTGACAAGAATGCAGAGGCTTCCTTTTGCCCCTGAAAAAAATCAAATTTCAAACACAACTTGACTGTTAATTTCTCCAAAAGACAACCATGAAGCTCCATTTCAAACCTGAAGCAGATAGTTGGTGCATGTGTACAGTAACCTGAGGGGAGTGAGGTGACTATTTCTGAGGAGAACATGAGCAGTGAAGATTCACCTTGGAGCTAGAACAGGGACGTGCACATGATTATACAGGGGCAGGGGCTCAAGTTTTTTCCAGTCATTTATACAATATGGAAATTAATGTGAAATTAAACCACAAATATGTGTGATGAACTGTTTTTAAAACTTAAACTTCAAATAAAAATTGTAAACTTCAAAACATATGCAAATTTTTAACAAAGAACATAGTAATTTACCTCTATTTACATCAAAATGCAGGCAATGGCCCAGGCGTTCTTTGTAAAATTATTTACAAAACACTGTATAGTCTCACAAATGTCACTTTTTATTTATGCCACTACAAAAAAACATGATGTAAATGATGCATGATGTAAAACATGATGTAAAAAACTTGTGTAGATCCTCCTCTATGTCAGTCCATGTGTAATTTTTCCATAATTCTTTGTTTTTTGCAGCATTTTTGTTAGTGTAACTGCAGATTTTGCTGACAGTGTCTATGGCACAAAAAAAAAAAAAAATTAAAATGCCTCAACATGAACCCCTGGTGGTCTCTGAGGGTGAAACCTGCTAACTGCTGCAGCTCTGTCAGCTTCAGTCTCCCATGCAGAGCTCTGAGCGCATGTGTGGCTCTGCACCCTTAGCAGCGTTGCTAACTCCTCAGTAAGGAAAGCCTGCTTCATGTCAGAGTCTCTAAACTCCAGAAGAAGTCGATAAAAGTCCCTTTCTTTCTAAAAAAGTCGTTAGGGTGTCTGAAAAGTCATTGAATCTAACAACAAAGTCGCTAGGTTTGCAACTACGTGTCCCAGACTGCATCCCTGCTGAGAGTCCCTCCCTCCCTTCTCATGTTGCAGGAAGAACGTAAGCGCCCGCCCCTTGTCAATCAGTCACCATATAATTTTGGATTGGTTGTTGTGGTGAAGTTTTCCACCAATAGGAGAGATGTTGTGGTGTGTTTTTTTTTTCTTTTGGCAAGCCTTTTCCGCCTGTAAGACCTGTCGCTAATGTCTGCATGCTATGTTTTCCTGTCTCATACAGCGCGATCGAGCGCCGAACGTGATCAAAATAAGCAGAAAAAAAGTATCGCGGACATAATTTATCATAACTCTGGTTTTATTTGGCCTATCAACACAATTTAAAAACTGGTATATAGGTTGAGGTCCTCACTTTTGAGATAAGTTGAAACGGAGAGTCAACGAGGCTCCGTCTTGCAGCTACATCAGGTTAAATATGTCATGTGACTTGAACGCACACATAGACACACACACACGCACACACACACACACACACACACACACACACACACACACTCAGAGTCTGGTTTTTAGCACCTGCAAAAACATGCTATTTACATATTTGACAAGAATGCAGAGGCTCCTTTTGCCCCTGAAAAAAATCAAATTTCAAACACAACTTGACTGGTCATTTCTCCAAAAGACAACCATGAAGCTCCATCCAAACCTGAAGCAGGCAGTTGGTGCATGTGTACAGTAACCTGAGGGGAGTGAGGTGAGTGCTTCTGAGGAGAACATGAGCAGTGAAGATTCACCTTGGAGCTAGAACAGAGACATGCACATGATTATACAGGGGCAGGGGCTCAAGTTTTTTCCAGTCGTTTATACAATATGGAAATTAATGTGAAATTAAAACACAAAGTATTAATAGAAAGGTAATGACTGTCCTGTGTAGGTGACAGTGATATCCAATAGGCTAGGCACTCACGAGGCTGGCTGTGGCAAGTGTAAGTGAAAGCAACACGCACTGGCAGGAAGAACAGCAAACGCCGATGAAGGAAAAGGGTCTTTGCAGTGATGGGCGTTACCAGAGAGGGCGATGGCCAGAGGACACAAATGGGACGGGGAGGCAGCACGTTGGGGGGGGGGGACGCGACACGGCTCGGGCCCGCCAGTGCCCCAACGGGGTCCTAGTGTTATTATTATTATTATTATTTTTCCTCCCCTTTGAACTGGAAAATGGCCCACTTCCCACTGGCGAAAACTCATGAAATTTGGCAGGACGACCGGGCCTGGTGAAAAATTTGATATTCCGAAGTCGCCCAAACAAGAAAATGCAAAATGGCTCCATAGCGCCCCCTAAGGTGAAAATTCACACTATTCACTGTCACGCCTGTACGCTTTGTCAAAATGATACAAAAATTGACACACACATGTATCTCAATAAGATCTACAAAAAAGTCAGTGCGGGCGTATCTGTCAAATGTACGGTTAAAGGGTTATTTCGCATTTTTTGCCGATCCGCACACATTGGAATTTCGCTAACTCCTCCGAAGGCTTTCGTTCCACCGGCACCACATTTGCTCAGGCCAATCTACACCCCATGGCCATTAAAAGTTATTCAAATCATGACGCTGCACCCCACGGTTTAGGTTCTAGGGGGCGCCAAAGATAACCCTAAGATCCACATATTTAAAAGTCTTATAACTTTTTATTTTTGCCCTCACTGGCCTCCAAGTTTTCTAGGATGATGCAATGTCCAGCCATCAACACATTTGTGAAGGAGTTTTTTCTCTTTAAAAGAGCACCCCCCCATGGCAGGAGAATAAAGTCAAGTTTTTCCTGTTCATCATTCAATGGCTCAAACGCACTGCTCTCTCGGCAAAAGCGAAAGGAGGAACAACTTGCCATTTGGATATATCTTAGCTGTGTTTGTGCCCTCACTCATGGTCCAGACTTTTTTCAAATAGGACATGGAGTTTTTCTGCAGCGAGCGTTTTGGTAGAAACTGCGCCTCCCGTTCATTATAATGGTAAATGACCACAAACAAGTGCGCACACCATCTTTGGACCTTGAGTGTGACGCGATCGGGTGGGGGAGGCGGTCGCGCTGGGGGCGGCGTGACACGGCTCGGGCCCGCCAGTGCCCCAACGGGGCCCTAGTTAGGGCCCGAGCGTAGCTGCTAAGCAGCTGCGAGAGCCCTCTTGTTCCTGATGGATTCTTCTTTTGTTATTATTATTATTATTTTTCCTCCGCTTTAAACTGGAAAATGGCCCACTTCCCACTGGCGAAAACTCAGGAAATTTGGCAGGACGACCGGGCCTGGTGAAAAATTCGATATTCTGAAGTCGCCCAAACAATAAAATGCAAAATGGCTCCATAGCGCCCCCTAAGGTGAAAATTCACACTATTGACTGTCACGCCTGTACGCTTTGTCATATTGACACAAAAATTGACACACACATGTATCTCAATAAGATCTACAAAAAAGTCAGTGCGGGCGTATCTGTCAAATGTACGGTTAAAGGGTTATTTCGCATTTTTTGCAGATCCGCACACATTGGAATTTCGCTAACTCCTCCGAAGGCTTTCGTTCCACCGGCACCACATTTGCTCAGGCCAATCTACACTCCATGGCCATTCAAAGTTGTACAAATCATGATGCTGCACCCCATGGTTTAGGTTCTAGGGGGCGCCAAAAATAACCCAAAAATCCACATTCTTAAAAGTTTTATAACTTTTTTTTTTTGTCCTCACTGGCCTCCAAGTTTTCTAGGGTGATGCAATGTCCAGCCATCAACACATTTGTGAAGGAATTTTTACTCCCCAAAAGAGCGCCCCCCCATGGCAGGAGAAAAAAGTCAATTTTTTCTTGTCCCCTAAGGTGAAAATACACATTGTTGAGATTCACGCCTGTACGCTTTGTCATATTGACAAAAAATTTGACACACACATGTATCTCAATAAGATCTACGAAAAAGTCAATGCGCGCGTATCTGTAAAATGTACGGCTAAACGGCTATTTTGCATTTTTTGCCGATTCGCACACTTTGGAATGTGGCTAACTCCTCCTAAGGCTTTCATCCCACTGACACCAAATTTGCTCAGGCCAATCTACACCCCATGGCCATTCAAAGTTGTAAAAATCATGCCGCTGCACCCCATGGTTTACGTTCTAGGGGGCGCCAAAGATGACCCAAATATCCACATTCTTAAAAGTCGTTTTGGCAACTGCAGGAGTACAGAGTACTGCAGGATACACACACAGACACACACACACACACACACACACACACACACACACACACATACATACACACTCAGAGTCTGTTTTTTAGCACCTGCAAAAACATGCTATTTACATATTTGACAACAATGCAGAGACTTCCTTTTGCCCCTGAAAAAAATGAAATTTCAAACACAACTTGACTGCTCATTTCTCCAAAAGACAACCATGAAGCTCCATCCAAACCTGAAGCAGGCAGTTGGTGCATGTGTACAGTAACCTGAGGGGAGTGAGGTGACTGCTTCTGAGGAGAACATGAGCAGTGAAGATTCACCTTGGAGCTAGAACAGGGACGTGCACATGATTATACAGGGCCAGGGGCTCAAGTTTTTTCCAGTCGTTTAGACAATATGGAAATTAATGTGAAATTAAAAAACAAAGTATTAATAGAAAGGTAATGACTGTCCTGTGTAGGTGACAGTGATATCCAATAGGCTAGGCTGTGGCAAGTGCAAGTGAAAGCAACACGCACTGGCAGGAAGAACAGCAAACGCAGATGAAGGAAAAGGGTCTTTGCAGTGATGGGCGTTACCAGAGAGGACGATGGCCAGAGGACGCGAATGGAATGGGGAGGCAGCGCGGGGGGGGGGGGGGGGGGGGGGGCGCGACACAGCTCGGGCCCGACAGTGCCCCAACGGGGCCCTAGTTTCTTCTTTTTCCTCCCCTTTGAACTGGAAAATGGCCCACTTCCCACTGGCGAAAACTCATGAAATTTGGCAGGACGACCGGGCCTGGTGAAAAATTTGATATTCCGAAGTCGCCCAAACAAGAAAATGCAAAATGGCTCCATAGCGCCCCCTAAGGTGAAAATTCACACTATTGAGTGTCACGCCTGTACGCTTTGTCAAAATGACACAAAATTTGACACACACATGTATCTCAATAAGATCTACAAAAAAGTCAGTGCGGGCGTATCTGTCAAATGTACGGTTAAAGGGTTATTTCGCATTTTTTGCCGATCCGCACACATTGGAATTTCGCTAACTCCTCCGAAGGCTTTCGTTCCACCGGCACCACATTTGCTCAGGCCAATCTACACCCCATGGCCATTAAAAGTTATTCAAATCATGACGCTGCACCCCACGGTTTAGGTTCTAGGGGGCGCCAAAGATAACCCTAAAATCCACATATTTAAAAGTCTTATAACTTTTTATTTTTGCCCTCACTGGCCTCCAAGTTTTCTAGGATGATGCAATGTCCAGCCATCAACACATTTGTGAAGGAATTTTTACTCCCCAAAAGAGCGCCCCCCCATGGCAGGAGAAAAAAGTCCATTTTTTCTTGTCCCCTAAGGTGAAAATACACATTGTTGAGTGTCACGCCTGTACGCTTTGTCAAAATGACACAAAAATTGACACACACATGTATCTCAATAAGATCTACAAAAAAGTCCATGCGTGCGTATCTGTCAAATGTACGGTTAAAGGGTTATTCCGCATTTTTTGCCGATTCGCACACATTGGAATTTCGCTAACTCCTCCGAAGGCTTTCGTTCCACCGGCACCACATTTGCTCAGGCCAATCTACACCCCATGGCCATTAAAAGTTATTCAAATCATGACGCTGCACCCCACGGTTTACGTTCTAGGGGGCGCCAAAGATAACCCAAAAATCCACATTTTTAAAAGTCTTATAACTTTTTATTTTTGCCCTCACTGGCCTCCAAGTTTTCTAGGATGATGCAATGTCCAGCCATCAACACATTTGTGAAGGAATTTTTACTCCCTAAAAGAGCGCCCCCCCATGGCAGGAGAAAAAAGTCCATTTTTTCTTGTCCCCTAAGGTGAAAATACACATTGTTGACTGTCACGCCTGTACGCTTTGGCAAAATGACACAAAAATTGACAATCATGTGTATCTCAATTAGATCTACGAAAAAGTCAAAGAGCGCGTATCTGTATAATGTACGGTAAAAGGGCTATTTTGCATTTTTTGCCGATTCGCACACATTGGAATTTCGCTAACTCCTCCTAAGGCTTTCGTCCCACTGACACCAAATTTGCTCAGGCCAATCTACACCCCATGCCCATTCAAAGTTGTAAAAATCATGACGCTGCACCCCACGGTTTACGTTCTAGGGGGCGCCAAAGATGACCCAAAAATCCACATTCTTAAAAGTCATTTTGGCCACTGCAGGAGTACAGAGTACTGCAGTTCTAGGGGGCGCCAAAGATGACCCAAAAATCCACATTCTTAAAAGTCTTTTTGGCCACTGCAGGAGTACAGAGTACTGCAGGATACACACACATATACACACACGCCAACATACACACACACACAGACACACACACACACAGACACACACACACACTCAGAGTCTGTTTTTTAGCACCTGCAAAAACATGCTGTTTACATATTTGACAAGAATGCAGAGGCTTCCTTTTGCCCCTGAAAAAAATCAAATTTCAAACACAACTTGACTGTTCATTTCTCCAAAAGACAACCATGAAGCTCCATTTCAAACCTGAAGCAGATAGTTGGTGCATGTGTACAGTAACCTGAGGGGAGTGAGGTGACTATTTCTGAGGAGAACATGAGCAGTGAAGATTCACCTTGGAGCTAGAACAGGGACGTGCACATGATTATACAGGGGCAGGGGCTCAAGTTTTTTCCAGTCATTTATACAATATGGAAATTAATGTGAAATTAAACCACAAATATGTGTGATGAACTGTTTTTAAAACTTAAACTTCAAATAAAAATTGTAAACTTCAAAACATATGCAAATTTTTAACAAAGAACATAGTAATTTACCTCTATTTACATCAAAATGCAGGCAATGGCCCAGGCGTTCTTTGTAAAATTATTTACAAAACACTGTATAGTCTCACAAATGTCACTTTTTATTTATGCCACTACAAAAAAACATGATGTAAATGATGCATGACGTAAAACATGATGTAAAAAACTTGTGTAGATCCTCCTCTATGTCAGTCCATGTGTAATTTTTCCATAATTCTTTGTTTTTTGCAGCATTTTTGTTAGTGTAACTGCAGATTGTGCTGACAGTGTCTATGGCACAAAAAAAAAAAAATTAAAATGCCTCAACATGAACCCCTGGTGGTCTCTGAGGGTGAAACCTGCTAACTGCTGCAGCTCTGTCAGCTCTCCCATGCAGAGCTCTGAGCGCATGTGTGGCTCTGCACCCTTAGCAGCGTTGCTAACTCCTCAGTAAGGAAAGCCTGCTTCATGTCAGAGTCTCTAAACTCCAGAAGAAGTCGATAAAAGTCCCTTTCTTTCTAAAAAAAGTCGTTAGGGGGTCTGAAAAGTCATTGAATCTAACAACAAAGTCGCTAGGTTTGCAACTACGTGTCCCAGACTGCATCCCTGCTGAGAGTCCCTCCCTCCCTTCTCATGTTGCAGGAAGAACGTAAGCACCCGCCCCTTGTCAATCAGTCACCATATAATTTTGGATTGGTTGTTGTGGTGAAGTTTTCCACCAATAGGAGAGATGTTGTGGTGTGTTTTTTTTTTCTTTTGGCAAGCCTTTTCCGCCTGTAAGCCCTGTCGCTAATGTCTGCATGCTATGTTTTCCTGTCTCATACAGCGCGATCGAGCGCCGAACGTGATCAAAATAAGCAGAAAAAAAGTATCGCGGACATAATTTATCATAACTCTGGTTTTATTTGGCCTATCAACACAATTTAAAAACTGGTATATAGGTTGAGGTCCTCCCTTTTGAGATAAGTTGAAACGGAGAGTCAACGAGGCTCCGTCTTGCAGCTACATCCGGTTAAATATGTCATGTGACTTGAACGCACACACAGACACACACACACACACGCACACACACACACACACACACACACACACACACACACACACACACACACACACACACACACACTCAGAGTCTGGTTTTTAGCACCTGCAAAAACATGCTATTTACATATTTGACAAGAATGCAGAGGCTCCTTTTGCCCCTGAAAAAAATCAAATTTCAAACACAACTTGACTGGTCATTTCTCCAAAAGACAACCATGAAGCTCCATCCAAACCTGAAGCAGGCAGTTGGTGCATGTGTACAGTAACCTGAGGGGAGTGAGGTGAGTGCTTCTGAGGAGAACATGAGCAGTGAAGATTCACCTTGGAGCTAGAACAGAGACATGCACATGATTATACAGGGGCAGGGGCTCAAGTTTTTTCCAGTCGTTTATACAATATGGAAATTAATGTGAAATTAAAACACAAAGTATTAATAGAAAGGTAATGACTG